CCCTGGAGAGCTGTCAGGCACACCCTGCCTTTCATCTCTGCCCATGGCCACTCTGCGTGGGCTCCCCGTGCATCTTCATTAACTCTGGGCCCCAGGGAACCAGGCGGTGGGGGGGAGGTGTCTGTCTATCTATGTGTGGACCCTCTGAGTGTGCATGAATGCACACATACATGTGTACTGATGCACAAATGCACACATGCACAGGAGTGTGTCACTGCGTGTGTGCGCATGGTTCCCTGTCAACGCGCGCGAGACAAACCAGGGCACTGGCTTTGGAATCAAACAGATCTGGCTTCAAGTTTATGGCCCACCTCTTTCTAGCTGGGTCACCCTGAGCAAGTTACTTATCTTTTATGAACCTCCATATTGTCATCTGTAAACTGAGGATCATAAGAGTGACAATAACTACCACACATGCTTGCGGGGATCAAGTAATGCTATTCATATAGAAGCATCTGGAACTTAGTACATGTTTACTAACCATGCATTCTTATCCCTCTTACACATGGATGGGTGTACACATCCGAGTGGTAGGCAGGATTCTAAGAATGATCCCCAATAACCCTTGCATAATCCACCCCCCTTTGAGTGGAGGTAGAGCCTGGAGATACGGTGAAATATCACGCCCATGATTATGTTCCATCCTATAGCAAAAGGGAGATGACCCAAATAGCCAAATCTAATCAGATGAACCCTTTAAAAGCTGAGTTTGCTCCAGCTGCTAGGCAGAAGTCAGAGCCATTTGAGTCATAAGAGGGACTAACCCAGGAAGCAAACTTTTCTGGTGCTGAGTTGGAGGGGGACCCCCATGAGTGACTCCTAGGAGCTAAGAGTGACCCCCATCCATAGCCAGCAAGAAGATGAGGGTCTCAGTCCTACAGCTGCAAGAATTCTTGCAAAAACTGAATTTAGCCAAAAACCTGAATGAGCACAAAAATCAATTTTCTCAAGAGCCTCTAGATAGAAGCCCAGCCCAGCTGACACCTTGATTTCAGCCTTATGAGTCTAGAGGAGAGAAGCCAACCGAGCCCGTGCCGACCTCTGACTGCTCCGGTCAAGATGCCACTAGTAGGATTTTGTCAGCCCTGGGAGGAGCATCCTTGGAGATTCCCCAGGGGCCCTGGTAACTCACAGTGACACACACATGTCTGCTTTGGGCTCTGGGGAACACCTGCTCTAGTTTCCAGTCCAAAGCTGTCAGGGACAGAGAGGACAAAAAGTGAGGTATAGAGCAGGCGGAGAGGCCTCAGTTTGCTCATCTAAACGATGGGAACCTCATCACAAGGATAGCTTGATTGAACAAAGAGACAGTGAGCAAAAGCACTTTGGTGGGTTGGAAGAGCTGTCCAGCAGCAGGAGAGATGGTGGCCCATCCCCTGAGTCAGCAGTCAGGCTCAGGCCTGCTGGTCAACCTCAACCTACACCAGGGCACCTTGCCCCGGCCGGCTCCCCCTCCCCCACTCCTCTCCGCCACTCAGCTGAGAGCTCCATGTCCCCAAATCTTTTCAGTCACCTCCTCCCCACTGCCCCTGTCTGGTCCAGTGCCTGAGTCTTCCCTGGAGGACCACACGGCCTCCTCCCAGCATCCCTGCCTCTAGCCTCAGCCCCTCAAACTCAACCACCACTCCCCTGCTCCCAGCCTGGGCAGCGCTCCTAGTGTTCTTGAGGTAAAGCCTAAACTCCCCTCTGAAGATGAAGAATCATTTTCATTTTGCCAAAACAAGAAAAAATAATGCTTTAATTTTTATTTCCCTGATTCTAGTAAGTTCAAGCAGCTTTGCATACATTTATTCCCCTATTCCCTTCCTAGCCAGCTAAGTCCTACTCATTTTTAAATTTAAGTATCGCAGTTTTAATTTATTTTAATTTTTTAAAGATTTTATTCATTTACCTGAGAGAAAGAGAGTGAGCAAGAGAGAGTGCAAGCGGGGGAAATGGCAGAGAGAGGGAGAAGCAGACTCCCCGCTAAACAGGGAGCCCAATGCAGGGCTTGATCCCAGGACCCTGGGATCATGACCTGAGCCAAAGGCAGACACTTAACCAACTGAGCCACCCAGGAGCCCAGTATTCTAGTTTTTTAAAAAGTTCCGCTTGCACATGGGACCAAATTCAAAAGGTATAACAAGGCAAACACAAGAGGGTCAGCTTCCCTCCAGCTGCTGTCCCCAGCTGTCCAGTTCACGGCTCCACAGAAGCTGCTCCCACTAGCTTTTGGTGTGTGTGTCCGGATTTATTCTAGACATATACCAGCAAATAAGTACACACGTTCTTTTTTATACAGCTAATCGCATATCATACCTAATTGATTTCAGCTATGTCCCTCTTGGAACATAGAGCTGCCTCCTTTCTTGTCAATGGCTGCATAAGGTTCCACTGGAGCAGAATGATATAACCCCTCTCCTCCTGGTAGGCTTGTAGGCTGCTTCCTACCTCTCGCTATCAGAAACAACAGGTCACTGAAATGTCATTCACACACATGCATTGAGTTTATTTCTGAGAAACGCTCCTAGCAGATCGCTGGGTCAGAGGCAAAGACATTGCCAAGTTGCTTTCCAGGGGCGGGGAGGGCAGGCGGGTGGGGGGGGGTTGGTGACACAATTTGCATTTCTACCAGCATTTTATGAGCACTCTGGTTTCTCTGTACACTCGCTAAGCCAGTGATTTATCCAATTTCATAATTTTCCTGATGAGTGAAAAATGACATCACACTATAGTTTTATTATGTAGGTTTCTCATTTTGAGTAGGGTTGACCATCTTTTCATGGTCTTCTCTAAGACCATGGTTTCCTTCTCTGTGAATGGTCTGTTCATACACTTCACCTATTTTTTATTGAGTTGTCAGCCCTTTATTATTGATTTACAAGAGCTCTTCATAGATGAAGGAAATGAGCCCCAGAGAAATTTAAACAATGACTTAAATCACTTAAGTAGTTCCTTAAATGTTGGCCCTTGTGAAAGCATCTGGGCCTAGTGATTTTTGGGGGAGTAAGTATCCCTGTTTCTTCTATGATTACTGGTCCGTTTAGATTTTTGTACCTAAATGTACTTCTAGCTACATTTTTATAGCTTATATTTTCTTTAAGAATTACGCATTTCAGGGGCGCCTGGGTGGGCTCAGTCAGTGAGCATCCAACTCTTGGTTTCGGCTCAGGTCATGATCTCAGGGTCTTGAGATCGAGCCCCATGTCAGGCTCCACACTTGGCAAGGTCTGCTTGAGATTCTCTCTCCCTCTCCCTCTGCCCCTCCCCCTGCTCTCTCTGTCAAATAAACAAAAAAATAAATAAATAAAAAGAATTATCCATTTCATCCAAGTTCTTAAGTATATTTGCTTATTCTGTTGATTTCCTCTGAAATTGGGGTTATTCCCCAGTAACCATTTCTTATTTTATGAATTTATGCTTTTTCCTTTTTTTCTGGATTAGATTACCTAACATCTATTTTACTTGGCTTTTGAAAACATAATCTTTATTAGTTCTAGTATTTTCCTGACTTCTACTTCATTCACATCCACTTTTATCTTTATAAATTTTTCCTTGTGATTTCTTTAGCTTTATTTTATTGCCATATTCCAAACTTCCTGGGTTGGGTACTTAATTTATAGAACTTCCAATCCTTATAATTTATTAATAAAAGTATTTAGAGCTAAGAACTTTTCTCTTACTATAATTATCTCAGCTTTCTGGACTTCTGTAATCTGTTCTCATTTCCTTTTTGATGTGAGAGATGTTTAAGAGAGAGTAGGGGAAACTTACCTCTTGTCAATTTCTTATATTAAATTGTGAACAGTGACCATTATTAGGAGTAATGATAGAATTAGTTTATTTTTATTCCTTTCTCTTCCCCTCCCTGACCCAAATTTATTGTTTTACATTTCTTAATGTTGACCTTATCTGTAATGTAATTATATCTATCACCTTATTTTTCATATTTAAATTATGTCTTCTGCCCTCTGGTTACAAAAGATGAGGAAATCTGGATATTTGTGTTACTTTGCACCTTCTTTTCCCCCTTTCCCTCCCAGTATTCGTCTGTTACATAATTTCGACACAGTCTCATTTGATTCTCCGTGTTTCACTGTTCCATAATCATGATCCTCACCTTGGTTTTAGTCTTAGACTTGGAGGCAGATGAATTCAATTCCCCATCAGTCTACAGTCCTTCTGCCATCGTGTTTCCTTGCCAAGTTCATCTTTAAGAAGGTCATCATGAACATTTATTCCCTGAGTTCTCATATATTAAAAAACCAGGATTGATTTCTGGAGAGCCCAGCTTGAGAAGGGCTGGTGGAGTCCGACAGCCTGATCATACAGATGGGGAAGCCAAGACCAGCAATAGGAGCCATGGCCCAAGTCACCAGGCCAGTGCCAGGGACCAAGCCAGGACAAGAACCTGCACAGCCTGCCGCCCTGGCAGGGGCCTTCCCCTCCAGCCTGCTCTCACCCTCTCTCCTCCTTTCTTGAGTAGGGGACAGAAAGGTAGGTCGGGCCCCCTGCCTTGCTGCACACTTTTCCTCTAGTCCCCTGGAATCTCACCTGGGACTCGTGGGAAATGACAGGCAGGAGCATTCTTACCCACACCACCAGCCACCCCCCGCCAAAGGATTAGCAGCCATGGCTGGGCCCCTGGTGGCACAACCTCCCAGGAGAGGGGAAAAGTGTGAGCTCATCCTTACCGCCGCCGCCACCACCGGGCAGAATGGGTGGGGCGAGGGGCTCCACCTGTTCCCGATAATCTCTCTAATCCAGCCCATAATTATTCTTTATTAACGGAGGCCGCTGCCTTCGTTACGCGCTGAAAGGAAAGGAGAGCGTCAGGAGTGAAGACACAAGGATCAAAAGCCGGTCACATTTTCCAAAAGGGTTTATTTGCCACGACCAAAATAACCTCACCAGGGGACAGCCGAGTTCCTGTCTCGCCCCATCCTGGTGCCCAGCGTGGGAGCTCCAGGCCCCCAGGCCTCCCGGGCAGGCCCAGAAGTCCCTGCCTGACTCCACGGCCCACCAGTCCTCCTTCATTCACACACCCCCTTGTACTGGGCTTTGCAGATACACAGTAAATAACCTGCGGCCCTGGCCTCCCCAGGCTCTGCAGCCACCAAGGGAAGGGACATGTGCCACTTTGATTACCAAGCAGGCTGCTAAGTGCCACACTGGGGAGGATAGGTGGCTGCGGAACCCGGGCAGGTCCTGAGGCCAGCCTCGGGAATATGGGTGGGAGAAGCCTTCCCGGAGACAGACACGCTGGAACCCCGTTTTAAAGTGCAGCTAGAAGTGGGGCGCCTGGGTGGCTCAGTCGGTTAAAGTGCAGCTAGAAGTTCCTCAGTGCACACGGTAAGCAAAGGCCATCCTGTGGAAGGAAAGACAAGCTAAGACAAAGTTGAACTGCAATTTGGTGTAGCCAGAGTGAAGGTTGGAGAGGGACAAAGGTCTGACTGGGGCTGCAGGGAGGCAGGGCCAGGCCACAAAGGACCTGTGCGTACTAGGGAGTCATTAAACGTTTTAGGCAGGGAGGTGATAACGGTCAGATTGTGCTTTAGGAAGATCCTTCTAGCTGCAGAGTAGAGACTGGATTGGGGGATGCTGCAGGCTGCAGGATGTCCCTGGGGACACTTGTAAGGGCCCACATGAGAAATGTGAAGTTTGGAACCCGAGAAGTAACAACAGGGTAGAGAAAGGAGGTGGAATGAGGGCATCAGGCAATGGGGACACGATTCGTCTGACCCTAGTGGCCATGTTGTACATCGGGGCCATGGTCAGAAGGGATCAAAATGGTTCCTAGACCTTTTGTGTCCTCAACCCTGTCACCACCACCCTACATTCAGCCTAGCACTCGATCTGCGGGGGAACCAGAGGCCTGGGGCCACACTCCCCACCCAGAGGCCCTCACAAACTGGGAAGATGAGGTATAGGGACTGGGGACCATGAAGCTCAAACTCCTGGCTCTCTGGCCCTCCAGCCCACCCGCCCTCTTCTACAGACAAGCCCCATTCACTGCTTGCTCAATGTTCTTCCCAACCTGCCCATCCTGACCCACATCCTGTCCACGCCCAGGTCCCACTGAATAGGCCAGCGTGCAGACCCCCTGCCCAGAAACCCCGTCCCCCAGACAGCAATGGCTGCTGCCTGCCTTCCTGTCTCCCTGCCTCTCTGCCTCCTTCACCTTTCCTGCCTCCATCACCAACGGTTGTCGTCTGCATTCCCTCCGTCTTGGTGTGAGTCCCACCTGCAGCTTGGGGCCCTCTCTCTCTGGTCCTCCCTGCTGGTTTCTCTGTTCCCCTCCATCCCTCCTTTCTCACTCCACACCTAACCCCTCCCAGGACTCACACAACTCATGACCCCATCATTCGAACCAACACTGGGCACTGAGTGTGAGCCAGGCCCCGGGCTTGGCTCTGGGCATCGCAGAGATGGACAGGAGAATGCAGCTCTGGCCCTCGCCGTCCCCTGCAGCTCCCACTCCCGCAGACAAGAGGGGGCAGCGCCAGCCAGAAGCAGTGCTAGAAGGGAGTCCAGAGAGGTCAGATTGGTGTGCACTGGGCTCTGCGAGGCGGCCATCCCATCTGAGCCCCAACACTTCATTCCAGCAGCCAGCAAAGGGGTTGGTGCTGGGGACCAGGGTCAGAGATGAGGGCAACCCACATTCTGCCCTCCAGGAGTTCACGGCCTGGTCAGGGACATGGAAACTGTGCCCATATGAATGCCCCCCAGGGGCTCTGCAGTACCATCTCAGGTGGGAGATTGCAGGAGCCTGGGATGACACAAGCGGTGGTCTGAAAGCAGGAAGGCTGGGCCCAATCCACCCCGCTGGCCTCGGCAAGCCACCCACTTCTTCGATCCTCAGCTGCAGCATCCGGTCAATGGGTGTATCATAGTTTCCCAAGGTTAATACATGTAAAATAAACAATATACGGGCCAAAGTATACAAAAGTGGCTTAGCAAAGAGCCAGGGGTGAGTACACACTCAATAAATCACACTCATTATAGTTTTCATTGTTACCATTCCATTTGGGCTGTGGAGTTGTAGTAAAAGCCATTTCTGGTCCCAGTCGTGCCACCATCTGGCCGTGTAACCCTGAGTTCCCTCCCTCGCCCTGCCACTGTTGCTGCTGAAAGGGGAATTCAGATGAAGCTTCCTGCCGGTCCTGACCGCTGAGATCTGAAGGGAAGGCCTGCCTCCTGATCTCCTCTCTCCTGTTGCCCCATTACCTTCACTCTGGCCACTTCAGCTCCTTGCGCTTCCTCAAGCTCCCCAGCCATGCTCTGGCCTTGAAGCTTTTGCGCCTGCTGCCCCCTCTGCCCAGAACCGACTCCTGCCCGCCTGCCCGCCTGCATGGCTCGCTGTCCTACAAACGTGTCCACCTCCTCGGGGGGCCTTTCCTGACTGTTCTCATCACTCACTCCCTGACCGGCTCCATCTTCCTTCCATCACACTGATCCAAACCGGACGTGTATGATTTATTGACTTCCCCCCCCTTGTGAGACGGGACAGAGTCTGTCTGGTCCACAGCTGTCCCCCGTGTAGATGCCCGGCCACACTTGGAGCTCAACACACGAATAAGGACTAGGGCGCACCTGAAGTTCTGGAGAAGCAGTGCAGGTGAGGGGGGGGGTGAGAATTCTCCAGAATCCCCTGGATGCCAGCTCCCGGCAGCCCCAACACTCCGGGACTCACCCGCTGAGCCTTCTCACAGCCTGGAAAAGCACAAAGCTCTCTCCATCCCTGCCGGGCACATGCCCCCTGCCCTTGGGGTCATGGACCTGAGACCACCACCCCTGGCCCCAGAGCCCTCAGATGTTTCCAGGTCGGGCAGGGGAGGAGGCGGTAGCAGACTCTGGGCCCCGTCCTTTGTCCCGGGCCCCAGCAGAATTTCATTCCAAGGTTCAAAGCGCCTTTGCCCCTTCCCAGATAAAAGGCCGCTCAGCCGGAGAGAAGAACTGGTTAACAGAGGACAGGAGGGGGGCTCTGGACAGCGGGCCCACCACGGCCCTCTGCCCGCATCCTCGGCAGTGAATGCTCTCAGCCCTCTGCCGCCGTTCCAGCCCGCTGCCCCACAAGAAAAGCCCATTAATTTAACTCTAATAGGATTTTCAATTTGTCACAATCCTTGGAGATCCTGGGGAGGTAGTGCCGGGGGGCGGGGGGGGGATGCATATCAAGTCTGTGTTAAAGGAAATTCTTGCAGGGAGACTGGGCTGGCCCCTAGACAATTCCCTACCACCCCAGGGCCTTCAGGCCAGCCACAGCCCCTCCTGGCCTCAGTTTCCTCCGTGGAAAGCAAGTTAATAAAACCTACTTCGAAAGGAAGCTCCAAGGATTAAGTGAGATTAGGAAGGCATAACATCCAGCAAAGGCTGCCTGGCCGGTAGTAGGCGCTCTGTAGCTGTTGCCCTCTCCCAGATCTGCCCACCCCCCGGGGCTACGCCAGCTGGAGATGTGCCCCCTGCACCCCCTCCCTTCCCTCCCCACCCACCCGCTGTGCCTCCAGGTCCAGTGACAGTTTCAGCCAAACAACCCTGGCGGTGGGGGGGGGAGGTGTCTGGGAGCCCGTGGCCTTTTCATCCTCAGCGGGATCAGCGTCCTGAATTCCTCGTTGTTCGAGGAGAGCCGAGGATTTGGAGCTTCCAAACACAGCGGCCCAATCGGAGGGCCCCAGCCCGTGCCAACCAGCTGCGTCTCGGTTACAGCTAAGAACACAGCACACCAGCTGCCTGAGCCCTGCTCTCCGGGCGAATTCCTCCTGGATCAGGAGATGCCAGACAGCGGGGACTGCATCTGTGTCGCCCCTGGCCGTGGGCTCAGCTCGGCACTTCCCCTGGTCTGAAAGTGAGGGGCACCCTGGCGCGGGGACGGGTCTGGGGCTCGGGGCTGGGGGGCGGGGGGGATATATCTGTTGGTGCAGCTGACGAGAGACTGAGGTGGCCATGGGGAAATCGCTGCCCTCCAGGGCTCCCAAAGCCAGCGGACAAGCGCACCTGGCTGGGCCCCACGCCTGGCTCAGAGCCACGCACCCTGGGTTCACTGCTGCGGCCGCCACCAAGAAGAGAGAGGTGGGGAAGGAGGATGCAGGAGCCCGCCCGCCCCCCCCCCAAGCCCTCATGACCAGACTGGACAGGCCTGGGACCGGGGTGCTGCAGTCAGCACCGCCTGCAGCCCCTGTTTGCTTTTGCCTCCGTCCAGGCCCCAACCATAATTTATAGCATCTCGATTCCTCCGCAGCACGTGGTCCCAAGCCAGACAGAGATGGGAAGGAGACATCAGGGAGACAAAACTGAGGGTGGTTTCAATTACCCTATATTTCAGTCGCCACAGACCTACTCAGGTGCGAAGAGAACCATATATCTTGTGAATAAAAGAAACAGAAGAGGCAAACTGATATTTGCCCTCATTTTCATGGTCATGGGAGAAAGCCTGGTGGGGACCCCACACATGGGAATGGTAGTGAGCCTTCCCTCACCAAGCCAGTGCGAATGAATGTTTGTAGGTTCTCCAACCCAGGACAAAATGCTGGGTGGATGCCAGAGAGAGGATTCTAGAAGGGAACGCTGTCCAAGTGCCATGGTGGGAGGACTGGGGGAAGTCACTGGGGGTTCCGGGTCGGATTCTGGAAGGGGCTGAGCAAGAGAGGCGGCCTACCGGTTACAGGGGGAGTGAAGTGCTGCCTGTGCAGCAGAGGAACAAGGCAGGGGAAGGATCCCTCACCTCGGGGCTCAGGTGGCCCCACAAACTTTTCAGAACATCTTTGCTTAGGCCTGGGTCCCCTCCTTGGCTTGAGCTGTTCACAAGTGGGAAGTGGGGCCCCAGGGAGTCAGTGGCAACAGACTCCCTGGGGCCCCACATGCCAGGCAACAGAAGGATGATGTCACCATAGACAAGAGTCCCCAGAGCCCCCACCCCCAGGCAGGATTCAGAGTGCCCACCCACCACGCCTCACTCCTCTGCAGGGGCTCCCCAAATTGCCAGCTATCACAACAAGAATGACTCCCAGGGACCCACCCAGCTTCCAACTGCACTCCTGTTTTGCTGTGTGAGCCTAGGTGAGTTGCTCACTCTCTCTGTGCTTTTCATTCACTGGGTGAAAAATGTGAAGGAGGAAGAGGATTAAGAAAGATTTGCCTATAGAGGTGAGTGCCCTTTAGAAAAAAAGCTTGGTGAGCCATATTCAGGATGATGAGAAAAGTCTATCCCTATAATGAAGAAATGGTGGTATTTACGTCATTAGAAAGGATTTTAAGGAGGGATAAAGCTACGGATTGAGAGTGTGAGATCTGTCTTTCCTTCCCTAATATCACAGCTATTTATTGAGCTTCTACCTTAAGTCAGACCCCACCCCAGGGACACAGTGGAGA